CACTCACTCTCTCACTCACTCTCATTCACTCACTCACTCACTGGTTCACTCTCATTAACTCACTCTCACTCACTCACTCTCACTCACTCACTCACACTCACTCATACTCACTCACTCTCTAAAAGAAAAAAAAAAAAGAGAGAGATAGACATAGAACAAATAGGCCATACTCAACTGTGGACATGTGAGGGAACTTCAAAACGTTTTTGAAAAATCAGATTTTAAAAATAATGGAATTTTTTTCATTTTGAAGCTCATTCATATATATGTGTATATCTCCGACTGCCATCAAATTGGTTCCAACTCATAATGATTCTATATAGGTTTTCCCGAGACTATAAATCGTTCTGGGAGCAGGCAACCTCATTCTCCCAAGTGGCAACAGGTGGATTTGTACCACTATCCTTGTGGCTAGCAGCTGTAGGAAAAGGTGTGGGAGTAGCCATGTCTGACCTCTGATTTCCCTGTTGCAACAAAGCAGGGGTCAGGCATGCCTCCACCTCACATCCTTTGTTATCTGTCTGACACAGTCATCCCTCCCACAGTACTCTCCTTCTATGTTGGGTTCAATAATACATTGCAGTGGCTACCCAGAACACACATTTGGGGAGAGGGGCCCATTAGGGAAGTCAGTAGGTCACCACAAGCCAAGACCAGAAAGTATTAAGGATACAGCCATTGGTACACAGCAGTACCTCTCCTCAGCCAGCAGCCAAGTCTCTTTCTAGTCCTTTGCCTCTCAGCCACGGGATCCCTTGGCCTCTGCCTCAGGGGGCCAGGAAGCCAGCTCACTGCTCTGCCTCAGAGTCTCAGGAAATGGGACATAGAAAAAAGGCCGTCGTCTCCAGGCTCCTCCTTCGTTCTGTCTCATGGTCTTTTTGCCTCGGCCTCTGGTCTCAGACTTCACTGTTTCAGACAGTGTGTTCCACTTCGATGGTCTTGGGATCTCTGTTTCCTCTACAAGATAGCTAGCTCACCTTTAGAGTCAGGGGAGTGGCAATAAAACTGACCAGTCCCCTTTACTAATAATTACACGCACCCTATTTCCACAGACCCACCCAATCATTTGGTGGAAGTTATAGAGCCATATTAAGAAAATTTCATCCTATCTCAGCAGCCCGATGCTTAACACCCTGTGCCACCATATTCCAGTTGCTAGGGAGTGGATTCTGATTCACTGTGACTCCATGTGCATCGTAGTAGAATTGTGCTCCCCAGGGGGACTCTCAAGACCATGGCCCTTAGTCACCCTGCAGGTCTGCAACTGAGCTCACCTCCACGGCTCAATTTTCAGCCAAATAACAGACAAGCCTGTAAGGGGAACAGTAACAGTAATGAGATGCACACACCTTAGAGTAATCAACCATTTGAGATCTAACTGGCAGGATTTACCCAAGAATACAGTTCCAAAGGGTTAGGAAAGGAAGCAGGAAGCACAGGGAGAAGTGGGTCCATGGAAGGGGTCTCAGTGAACGAGGAGAAAGAGTGTGTATGTATTGCTGCGTGTAAAGCTGATGATCTGGTCCATAGCCCTTCACCGAATTCACAATAAGATTTTGTTTAAAGAATCGTGCTCCCCAGGGTTACCCAAGGCTGGTTCTTCAGAATTCAATCAGCAGGCCTTTCTTTGAGATGCTGTGGATATGTTCAGTTAGCACCTGAGTACATTCACCTCTCTGGGACTCCGATGTAGCTTTCAGGCAACAATAAGTGGAAGGAAGATAATATGAGGCCTGGATTCACGAGGGACCAGGATGAGGATGGCTGGAATAGAGGGTGTTAGATCAGGGTGTAGGCAAGGCTTCTT